TATTATTATATTAAATTAAATATGATAAATATTGATCATATATGTGATTGCTTACCTTATTTTGAGACTAGTTACTTTCATTCAAAAAACTCCCAGACCGTGAGATACATTCGTTCATTTTTTTGTGTGTTAGTCCAACGGTTTGCCGATCAATCTTGCAGCGTTCTCCTGGTATATAATTAACAGGAAAAGAGACGATACATCAATTTTAAATCATAAAAAAGACGTAGAACAGAAAAACAAAAAACAATGTCCAAACAGTTCATCCTGTTCATAGCAAGACCAGTCACAAATGGTGATAGTATCTTTGGTCTGTCATTGTTTTTCCTTGCTCGGCAAAGCCTATTTTTTGATTCAGATTCTCGTAATAAAACTATTTCTAATTGTTAGGTATTATCATCGACTCCCCCGCAAAAATATATTTCCTGAGTCGACCACGAAAATGAAATCGTCCATTTTCTTCCTATGCTGTCAAGCGTTTGCATAATTCCAAGTAAATCAGTCATGATGGGTTGATATTTTTAAACATAATCTGGGAATCGGCGTGGTTATTATTATTATTATTATTATTATTATTTTGGTTGTGGTGGTGTTTTTATTATTAGATAATTATTATGATTATATAATAATAATAATAATAATCATTTTATCACTGCTGTTGTGTTCTTGTTTTCATTATAAGATTATTATTTTTATTATATATTAATATTACTATTTTTAATATTCTTATTGCTATCGTTGTTATAAAATTATTATTGTCATTATTAATAATAAAAACAGCAACAACGAAACAATAATTAGATTTTGTCGTTGCTATTATTATTAGTAGTAGTATTGTCATTATTATTGATATTTTTATCATTATTATTATTGCTGTTGTTACTATTATTATTTTATAATCATTATTTGTGATTAATATTATTTTATTGTTGATGTTATTATTTAATTATTATTATTGTAGTTATTAATATTATCATTGTACTATTATTATTAATATTCTTGCTATTATTATTATTATTATTTTTTAATAATTATTATTATTGTAATAATTATTATCATTATCATTGTTATTATTTAGGTCTTATTAAATGCTATAATTCTTCATGTTATTAATATTACTGCTCTTATAATTATTGTTATTACTATTATAATTGTCATCATTATTATTATTATTGCAGTTATTATTATTATTATTATTATTATTATTATTATTTTCTGATTTCCTGTTTTGCTGTGTTATACAATCCTTTAGAAATTCTTTTATATTTCACCTGAGGTATAGTTAGTTTTTTCGTTGGAAATTACTGAAACTGTGCTACTGAGAGGATTTGTCTGAGTCTCTGAATGATGCTTATATCCACCGTATGTAGAGGTTTTCTGAGATTTTCTTCTGTATATATGAACATTCCTTTGATAAGTCCGAGTCTATTATTATTTGAGTAGTGCTTGTATTTAAAAATCGAATCTCTTGCAGCTATTAACTTTTGAAAATGTGTCATTTTCATTTTAGTCGTTTCAAGGGCTGCTATTATTATTATTATTATTATTATTGGACAGATAGACAAATAATATATAGTGCTAAGTGCTAGAAATTGCAGAAGGCCATCATATCCGATGTTCTGAAGAGATATGTCACATAGAAACAAAATGAATGAATATTAGTTATCTATTCTTAATGTTACACGCACTTGCAAAAACCTCATTATAATGAGCATAGAAATACCGAAAACGTACAGATCTTACTAAAGTAAGTCACCTAACTGTTCACGGATTTGTTAATGGTTTTGCCTTTCTAACCATTTGTGTGTAATATTCCAAGTAGTGACAGATTTGATAATCCTGATTATTTTTTGGTGTAAAAATGAAGCAGAATGAATACATAATATTTTAATCGGTATCGCCCCATGTAAGGCACCAAAGCCACTAAGATTTACAGGGTATGGAAGAATTAGGAAGAAAATTAGTAAGAGAATATTAATAATGAGCGGAAAGAGAAAAGAATAAAGAGGACACTAGATAGCGATTAACATTGCATTTAAATTTTTGGAGATTACAATTGGCTGGAAAGCGTGGAGTCGGATGAGAGTTCCATAACCGAGAAATGTGAGAAAAGAAACTGTTAGAGTAGAACTTACGGCTACATCAAGGCAGTTAATCCGTAAATTAATGAGATCGCCACGCAAGTCTATTACTGCAAGGAAATTACTAGCGAATAGCTCATCAGAAGAATTACCGTGAAAGTGTTTATAGAAAAGACAGAGAGGTGACCTGACGTTGTTGGGAAAGTGAATTAAAACAGTATATAAGAACATTCTTATATTACACAGCCGGCCCGGCTTGAACCTGGCTTGCTTCTAGGCTGGTCACTACTGCTGCCAGTGAATTGACGGGTATCTACCTTCCGCTTTGTTCCTTCATTTGATTCTGTCGCACGTCGTGTTCCTTGATCATAGTGTAATGAAGATTGAATTTCATCCGTACTTTGACACTGGATCGGAGCATAGTGGAGCCGTGCTACAAAAAACAAACAGCGTTTCCACTGGCGAAAACAAAAAAGAAAAAAAAAAGAAAAAGAAAAAAGAACGAAGAAGGTCGCAGGATTAAATTTCAATTTGGTTTATATAGATTTTGATACAATAAAATTAAGCCTTCCCGTTAAATTCTCTATCTCTATCTATATTTTTCTTCTAAAACTTGGCGCTGGTTCTATCAACAAAGAAAGAATTCGCTCGGGAATTCTCTTGTCAGCAGATCACGTGGTATTCAGCAGCTACTTCGTCCTCGGCAGACTCGTCTTGTCTGCGTTTCTTGACGTCTTACGCTCCAACTGCTGGGTCGGTGAAGTGTTCTGTATTTCGCCCGACTACCACCGCACCTGAGAACTCATCAATCTTCATATCAATTAATTATTTTCCCCAATTTGAAGAAAAGACACTGATCTTCAAGCAAAAAGAACTGTTATTCAAAACAATACATTCTTCGGCGTCAAACTTTTTTTTATCATTCTTTTCTATATCCTGACGACAATCGGCCCGGGATCGGTTACTTATGTTACGGTTTTTTGGGTATATATATGTATGTAACTAGTGAGCGAGTCAAAATGACTTATTTCCCTTTATAGTCGACCAATAGAAGGTTGACCAATCAGAAGCCGCACAACACTGTATTCGTCGTGTATAAAGGCGGCTATCTTTGTTTCTCCTATCGGAAGGACCAGAGAAAACTTGTCCGGCGAACATGACAGACGGAAGAACTACGCTCTGCTGCGATATCCACTGCGAACCTGCACTATGCTTTCCTACTGTCTCCGAAATATTCACTGCCAACCTCTGGATTCTATACTCGAGGACGACCGTCATGAAAATGTCTAACAACTTATTCCAAACAATATGTGTTTATAAATTCATCTCAGAATCCACAACAAAGATAATGTGTGAAAAAAAAAATTACTATACAATTTTTTTTTTAAAATAGTCAGTGTGCTCATAGTTTCAGGCATGGAAATATCTACTTACCTCATTTCCAGCATTAAATTTCAAATTTTAAAATGCCTAAAGGGAAAAGTTCGAACAGGGCAGGATTGTTGAACTTCAAAGTTAATTTCCTCACTGCTTTTTTTCTTTTTTTCGTTAGAATTTGAGTGAAAAGAAAGTAGATAAGATCCAGAGACGGATATGCAATGTAATTGGCCCTGATCTGGCATCTCGTCTACAGTCGCTTTCTCACAGACGCGCCCTCGCCTCTCTCTGTCTTTCTTTACAAGTACTTTCATCGGAATTGCTCCGATGAGCTGCTTTCGCTGGCTCCCAGACTTCGCGAATTCAAGCGTCTTACGAGGCTGGCATCCCGCTCTCACCCTTTACACTGTTGAAACTGTTAAATGTAGCCGTCGCTTCTACTCCAATAGCTTCAAATCTCGCACCTCTCGCCTGTGGAACTCTCTTCCCTATTCCTGTTTCCCTGACAGCTATAATCTCCAACTATTCAAATGTAATGTCAATCGACATCTCCAGATGCCTAGATTTGTCCACTATCCTTCTCTTCATCCTTTCCTCTATCACTCTTATTTGCTCTCGCTCCAAATCTTCTGTAACTCCTTGCGTACTAGTGGCTTGTGTACTAGTGGCTTCCGCCTTGCTTGGGGTGAATCGATTAAAAAAAAATTACGCTTACTGAATTTATTTACTAAATTATGTACAATACATTTTAAAAACGATATGGTGGATGTCTTGTACGGTGAATACAGACCGAAAACTAAATTTGAACTTGAAAATACGTGTGTCGTCTTATACATTCAGTCGCCTTGTACGCCAGCTTATACGATACTTGTTATTCATTTTCATGCAAATATAAGCCAGGATAACTTAAGAATCTTACTATTTCCAACTTCTGAATATCAGATCATGTCACAGGCGGCTAATAAAACAGATCTCCAAACATTGGCAATAAAACAAATATCCCATTTCGTTACAGGTTACGACAACGGCTTCACTTCCAAGCGTCAAGACCGAGCAAACTTTCCGCATTACTTTTAAAGCCTTAACGGAACAACCATTAACAGGACCGGCTCTCATAAGCGTGTATAGCCATTAACGTATTCTCGTTTTTCAATGCAACACGTACGTAACACTTGAAACGGGCCTATGCAAAACAAACAACAACAAAAAAAAACGACTGAGTAGGTTTCTCTGTAATCATCGAATAATTGATGGGTTGCCATAAGCTAATATCAGCCACGCTGTATCGATCTCAAAGTGATAAGCACGTTCGGACAATGGCGTTTTATGCAACGGAGATCCACTCCGCACAGAGGCTAGCGTAAACGGTACGGGCTGGGAGCGATGCCTGTCGGATAACACTGGAAATAAAAATGACAATGACAATGCAAATGCGTTGCCTCGTCTAGCCGTGCAAATAGAGCGATTCTGCAATATGATATGCCAGGAAGAGCCGAAGGACAACATTCATTAGATATATTAATACGTTTAGTATTCTGCCGTATGTCCCCCCAGAGATCTGTCCAACGAGTGTGCATAAGTAGTTTGATATACAAGGTAAATAGATGCATTCTTCACGAAGGGATATTGACCCCGAGACGGACAGACGCAAATAGGGACACCGGGAGCAGGCAAAAATATGGCTATACTCTTGCATTTATGTGATTGTCAGGCTTTTAATTTCTATCTAATTCCGTCTATTCATATCTATCTCAGTTTAGTCATACCAATCTCTATCAGCCTCTTTATCTCTCTATATATATATCTCTCTCTATATATCTATCTATCTATCTATCTATCTCCGCCTGATATCTATCTATCTATCTATCTCAGCATGTTTATCTTTCTCCGTTTGATATCTATCTATCTATCTATCTATCTATCTATCTATCTCAGCATGTTTATGTATCTATCTTTCTCCGCCTTCTATCTATCTATCTATCTATCTATCTATCTATCTATCTCCGCCTGATATCTATCTCAGCATGTTTATGTATGTATCTATCTTTCTCCGCCTGATATCTATCTATCTATCTATCTATCTCAGCATGTTTATCCAACTTTCTCCGTTTCATATCTATCTATCTATCTATCTCCGCCTGATTTCTATCTATCTCAGCCTCTTTATCTATCTCCGCCTGATATCTATTTATCTATCTATCTCAGCCTCTTTATCTATCTATCTATCTATCTATCTCCGCCTGATATCTATTTATCTATCTATCTCAGCCTCTTTATATTTCTATCTATCTATCTATCTATCTATCTCCGCCTGATATCTATTTATCTATCTATCTCAGCCTATCTATCTATCTATCTATCTATCTATCTATCTATCTCAGCCTGTTTCTCTATCTATCCAGGTAGCTAGCTATCGCAAGGTGGCGGCGGGTTCATGCCAAGGTAAAAAGACCATATCAATAAAGAAAAAAGAAAAATTTTTCTTTACCACCGCGTTTCGCTCTTTAAGAATGCTTACAAATAGTGTAATGTTAAAGTTAGCATCAGCTCTAGTTTACCTGTAGAGGGTGACCTGTGAACTTCCCTACAGAGAAAAAAATATGTTGGACAACCGTTTTTATTTATATAATGTGCTCTATATGATTATCATTGTTTCTAAAATACATATTAATACTTGTTTCCCACTGTTGATGGACAAGCATTAGCGCAGTTGAGATTATGCTTGTCATGGCGAGATGGGATTTATTTTATGTCTCGTATCTTCATCTGATACACCATAGCCTTGAAGTGCCTCCAAAGATAGAAATCAAGAAAGGACAGATCTGGGGATGTTGGAGGCCGCTTCACAGGATTGCACCGACAACTCCAAGCATCCGGAAACTGCTGACCTAAACATCGACGCAATTGATGACCTTAATTAGGTGGAGGTCCATCTTTCTGGAAGTAAACTGTGTAGACACCTTGGTTGAGCAGGGATGAGAGAATTTTCTCTTGCAACATACTAAGTTACTTTTCTGCATTAAGATTTAACTGTGAAAGCTAAAGAAAACGAACTAGTAGAAAAAAATATATATATATATATATATATATATATATATATATATATATATATATATATATATATAGATAGAGAGAGAGAGAGAAGGAGGCACGATAGAGTAATGGATAGCGGCCTGGATTGTGGAATCGCAGAGTCGAGTTCGAATTCCATTCGAATCCATTACTTTCACTTACGTGCTAATACCCTTGAGAAGGGTGTGAATCCTCTTCTTACTCTAGCTATGGGTAAATAGCAGGACAGGCTGGGGCCTATAGCCTTGGATAAAAGTTTATTATAAACAGAGCATTTACTTAAATAAATAAATGTATCTATAAAACGAATGTATAAACATAAACATGTCTTAAAATAGTTGTCGGACTTTGTCCATTTCATAATGCGTGATGTCATATATATATATATATATATATATATATATATATATATATATATATATCTTGGACTATAAGTTTCCATACATGGGAAAAATAAACATTTTATTTGGGACAATCGTTTTCATTCATGTAATGTGTTCTATATAATGGCCATTGTTCCGAAAACACGTATCAATACGTGTTTCCCACTGTTGATATACACGCATTAGAACAGTTGAAGATACAATTGTAATGGCGTTGGTGATACATTCCTTGAGATGATTTATGTCTCGTATCTTCACGTGATAATCCATGCTTTTCAAGGGCCTCCAAATATAGAAATCAAGAGGGAATATATATGGGGATGTGGGAGGTCACTTCATGAGACTGTGGCACCATTTACCAGGGCAAAAAGAAAAGAAATGAAAAAGAGAAAGGAAAGAAAGGAAAAGAGAGGCGAGACTTAAGCGTAGATGATAAAAGAAACTACCCACGACCAGAGGCCTTGACAATGTTATTTTGGTAAGTAGCAAATGGCGAAAAGGTGTCATTACCATTGCAGAAAAATTCTAAGTGGATAAGGGAATCGACTATGTTCTGGCGACGAACTTGTGTTATCGGGGATAGATAACAGCCGCTTAATGCGGGCAAACATCTAATTAGCAAACCACAGACCGACTAGCTAAGAAAACTCCAATTGATAATGTTATTTTGATAATTGACAAAGAACAGGTGAAATACAGGGCTTTGGATAGATAAGAAAAATTAACTGTGTCGTCTGCTAAGCCGCACACGAAGCCAAACTTGAGTAACGGCTGACCGTTTTTTGACAAGACATCTATAGGTGTTAGAGTTCGGTTGTGATAACAAAACTATGTTATCAGAAATTGGCACCAGGAATGACTAGAAAAATGGAACTGTTTTTTCGAGACGACGGTTTTGCTGGACGACCAGATGAGAATAGAGGTTATGACACTACTGGTCGCATTGTTCTATTGGCGGCCAGAGAAATTGAGTGCTGCGATTAAGGAAAGAAAAGGAAAAGAAAAAGATAATTTATTTTTGAGCAAGATATTTTTTTCCTGACACACAGCCAGCTAGATCGCACACACATGTAGCTGGACATTATTGGCCGAGTGGTGATCACGTGACGCAAGGAGGGAAGCCGCCGCCGCCCACTTAGAGGATGGGTATGAGAGGTTGCTACGAAGAAGTGGGGAGAGCCGTTGACGCCCCTCTGAAGTATGGTGAGAAGGTGGGAGTAAGAGAAGACTCCCAAAAATGGAAAGAAGTGGAAAATTCCTAACCAAAAAAATAAAAGAAGTGGGTATGTATTTAGAATGATCGAGGAACCTCCGGCCCCGACAAACCCACCCCGGTTTTGGTCGGCGACCATATAAGCAAAGTCGCAGCGAGCGAAAATTAGAGTTTCCCGGAGAGTTCAGCAGAGGAGAGTGTTCAGTTGAAGCAGACCTCGCAGCTGACTAAGATTCGCGCAACTTCCGAACTCGCCTTCAGTCCAAGAACAATTTATTTTGAAGAGCGACTTAGATCCATACCACCAAAATAAGTTTTTCGACTTTCGCCTGAAGGCACACCAAGAACCAATTTCTTAAAGAACAGACAACTTAAAGTGTTAAAACTCGCCTAACAAAAAACAACGTGTCACAATCCATATAACGGGTCGGGAGATAGACGCAGTCCTATGTATCCAGCAACTAGACATAAAGTATTGTTATCCTTTTTTGATACCTTGAACTTTTGAGTTATCATTTTATTTCTTTTTATACATATTTGTGCGATACCACCCTCGCTTGAACCCAACTTGCATTACGGCCCTAACGATCGATTGATTTCGTCTGCCTAAGATCAATTCACAACGTGAGTAGGCAGACTGGAGATCAACGCAGTTACTTTGGTAACCAGGCGTTGGAAGCGAATTGGGAACGACGAGGCTGATATCGAATCTAACCAGATTCCCATCCGAATCACCAAAAGGTTAGAACGTCACATTTGAGTGCCGCGACCGATACCAAGCCAGTTGGTCGTCACAGGACGGGACACTAACGCGACAGGCGGACGTCACGTTTGGAGCGGCGACACCCGAACGAAGCAGCGAGGAGCGAGCGAAGGTTGTGTTTAGGGACGTCACAGGACCACGCCGACTAATCCAAGCACCGAGAAACCACTGATCAAACTATGGAAGCACATGCATTTTCCTATCGATGGAAACTTATAGCCCACCCTGTGTTTTCTTTTAACTTTAAGCATATTTTGAGCGTACATAAATTAAAAAAAAAAAGTATATCTTATTCTTACTTCCAAGTATAAATATATGTTGCGAAATAAAATCCTTACATTTGCCGCCGGTAAAGAAAAGTTATACTTTTTTTCTTTATTATTGTCTCTCCCCATATACTGGAAGTAAACATCAACACATGCTTTTGTAGGGTGATGGAGAAGGTGCGTATTTGTATGTATTTTATACATATATTTTTTTTAAATTGAAATACAGGTGCTGAATAAAGTTTTATGAAATTACAAAATCTTCGGCTGTTCTAGTAGCCTTACTCATAAAGAATATTTTTTTTCTGCAACTGGGGGATATTTCAGATCCACCAGATGTTAATCACCTCAGTGCAAGAATGTCCAATACTTTGTTTCAGGCACCTGATAGATATTTTTTTTATTTCCCCTTTTCTCAAACTTTTCCTTCATAAAGTTTTGTCTGTTATTCAGTTCTGAAGACACCGGAGCAATTTCAAAATGACTGACAAGTCTCCACATGTCAACTAATTAAATACATTAAGAAAATATGAAAAAAATATGTTTGTCATTACTTTATATACATATACTAGCCGATTTACACGCACCTTGCTGCGTGTTACAAATATTTTTGTTAAAATTTGTGATGCATTTCAATATTTCTCTATGATCTTGCTAATGTGACCTCCATTTTTTGGCTTTCTCCTTCTATATTTTGGATAGGCGTCATTCCCTTGTACAAATTTAAATTTAATTTAAATCAAAGGGATAAAATTTCTGTGGGGAATTTTGTGCAAAAAAAAGGTTTTAAATTTTTATTTAAATCAATACTTTGATAGAATAATGGTAAAAATTCAATGGGAGGTAACCCTGGGGATCTCAAGTTGACTTATATTGTCTCATTTTGAAATGAAACCTCCATACTTATCTTCATATTTTGGATAAGAGTCATTCTTGTTCAAATTTAAATTTTATTTTCTAATGGAAAACAATAGGTATGGATCATCTCTTTCAAAATGAAATATTTATTTCTGGTAAAACATATAGGATGGGGTTTTATTTTAAAATGGGAAAAAAACATTAAAAGAGAGAGAGAGAGAGAGAGAGAGAAACAGAGAGAGAGAGAGATAAAGAAGCTACAACTTTATATATATATATATATATATATATATATATATTTCTGTGTGTGTGTGTGATAACAGTATATATATTTTACATATCAAGAACAGTATTAGGAAAATTGTATAGCAAATTATTAAAGTTTACTTGTGAAGCGCTTCGTCCTTTGAGATTAATTTTGTTATGTTGGTAGGACTAAACATGCGCACGACAGAGGGGTGCCGGGAATTCTACAATTTTTTTCTTTTTTTGTTTGTTATCTCGCCGAATTCATTTAGAGTCTTCTTTTCTTTCTTCTTTCCATTATTTTTGCAAATAGGTATTCTACACTTTCATAATAGAAGATCTGCCAGAAATGGCGAAATGTTTCAAGAGGCCCAGGCGCAAATTTACTGTAGATGACCTTGCGATCAAGGCATTTCTAGATCTTAAATGTCATAGTGAATAATTTTCTCCATTGATGAGAGTAGCATTTTCTATGTCAAAAACTATGGTCATTCTCGTTATGTTGGTCAACCAACGCATTTGACGTATTATTTTGTAAAATGTCCTATTTGTGTTCATATAATGTTTCATTTAGATTTCTTGAGGTTTCTTTCAGTCTTTGCCTTTTTAAATTCCTGTTTGACCTGGTCATTTAATTAATTTTTTTTTATTTCCTCTTCTGTTTTTTGTCTGTTTCTTTGTCTTTTCCCTTTTGATTATTTTTATTTTTTTGTTTTCCTTTTCTAACTGATGTTGTCCGTAGTATTTGGAGCGTTTAAATTTGAGTTAAATTTCACGTTTGAATCGTTCATTGTCTTGACTACAATTAATCTCAATACTTAATGGGCATCATATTTTTGTTTATTATATTACTCTCTATTTTTACCCTGCTGCTACGATTCTATAGACAGACCCCATCAAGTACCTGTTCCCGCCTCTCCCACTTTATATTATTTAAACATGGGATATTTTGTACAAATTTAAATTTAATTTAAATCAAAGGGATAAAATTTCTGTGGGGAATTTGTGCAAAAAACAGGTTGGTCTAACACATTTATTATTTATTAGATGCAATACTTGATAGAATGAATTGATGAATAGATTTCAATATTGATATGACACTTGAATTGTCACAACAAATATGTACTGTAAATTATAACCCTGGTTTGGTGATTTCTTGCTCAAGTTGACGGCTATATTGTCTCATTTGGATCATATACATGTGACCTCCATCTTCTGGCTTTCTCCTTCTATATTTTGGATAAGAGTCATTCCCTTGTTCAAATTTAAATTTTATTTAAATCTAATGGAAAAACTCAATGGGAGGTCTGGGGATCCTCTCTTATCAAAATGAAATATACTTATCCAAGTACTCTGGTCCATGTAGTTTCAGAACATATATGGTTATGGGGTTTTTATTAAATAATTGGAAAGACTATCCAAATATCATTGTCCATTCTGTTATAACTTAACTGGTGGTCAACCCAGGATATATATATATATATATATATATATATATATATATATATATATATATATATATATATAAAACATTTGTATATGTATATGTGATATCCGTCGGTCCATGGATCTTCCCAAGGAGTTATATCTCAGCCGCTGTTGGCGGCGCAGCACGTCCTCCCCAGAACGCAGGCATGGGCAGGATTTTTTTATGAGGGTTCGGTAGTCGCTCATGCAGCAAGTTTCCCCTCTACACGCCACTGATAAGATCCAAGGGAAAGACAGAGGCCAATATAGCTTGACACCAGCGTCGTTGCCAGAGTTGCCAGAACATCGGACTATCTCAGGGACCTCGTTTTCAGATTTATCCTCAGGTTTACTGCCAAAGCCTTTCCCATCATTGCAAATGGCCTAAAAGCAGTAGAGGTTAAAATCAAAGTTTTCCTTCTCCAGGTAAAATGGACTCGTCACGTCTATCCTGAATGTATGAAATTATGTAGAAATATCCTGTTGTTGATGTTATAAAATTGCGTTCAAAATATTTAGAGTCCGGCATTAAAATAACCTAGAGAGGTCCTTAAAGACACATGGCATAGTTGATAAAGGCGTTAGTTAGATCCAGTGACAGGACCCAAAGAGTGTGAGTTCAATACCTGGTTAAGACAGTGGAAAACTTGGGAAGTGAATTAACAGGAGATAACTGATAACTGACATACATAAAACATGGCACATGGAACTAGAACAGTCTACCCCAGTGAGCGAAATAAAGGGTTCAGTACGACATTTCAACCACCTGAAGAAGGCTGGGGCGTACAACGGCCGAAAGGTTGTGATAAATATAACAACAAAGATGAGGATGATAATCCGAACAATGTAAATATTCACGCATTATGAAATGGACAAAGTCCGACAATTATTTTAAGATATTTTTTTATGTTTATACGTTATTTTTAAAGGTACAAATATTGAAGTAAATCCTCTGTTTATAATAAACAGTATTAACAATATTTATCGGCCTGAATATCCAAGAAATTTTCATAGAAAATATTTATAAAAATAAACATAAAAAAATGTCATAAAATAATTGTTGGACTTTGTCCATTTCATAATGTGTGACGTCATTTGTTTACATTCAAAACAGTATAATCGACTTTGCTAACTGAAACGCTCCTCTGTGGCTAAATCGGTAAAGCACGTCAGGCTATATGACGGTTCCGTATAGGATACAGGTCCGATTCTATCTATCTATCTATCTATCTATCTATCTATCTCAAACTTTTCATTGTCTGTGTCTGTTCATAAATCGATCTATCTATCTTTTCATATAACTCTGTTCATATCTTTCTTTAATCAATTCACCCCAGGTAAGGTGATAATGCTACTAAGATGCAAGGGGCTACTGGAATTCAAAGAGAATTAGAATACTGTAGAATTAACAAGAAACTATTTCCTAAAAAGGAAACATCTACTATTCAAAATTTCTGTCTCAGTCTGTTCATATCTATCTATCTATCTATCTATCTATCTATCTATCTATCTATCTATCTATCTCATTCCACTTCATATCTATCTATCTATCTATCTATCTATCTATCTCAGTCTACCTCATTATCTATCTATCTCATTTCACCTCATATCTATCTATCTATTTGGGCACCTCGGCGTGGTGTAATGTTTAGCAAGCTTGTCTCGCTAGATCAGTTACGACTGAAAAGTGAGTTCGATCCTCACTAGGTGTCCCATACTTTTGGCCTTGTGCCACATCTAAGCTACGATTAGAAAATAACTATCTATCTATCTATCTCAGTCCACTTCATATCTATTTATCTATCTATCTATCTCAGTCTACCTCATTATCTATCTATCTATCTCAGCCCACTTCATATCTATCTATCTCAGTCCACTTCATATATATATATTTATCTATCCATCTATCTATCTATCTATCTATCTCAGTCCAATTCATATATATATATTTATCTATCTATCTATCTATCTATCTCAGTCCACTTCATATCTATCTATCTATCTCAGTCCACTTCATATCTATCTATCTTCGAATATACATATAATTGCGTACTATTTTTTTTTACATACTCTCTCGGAAATATACTTATGTATATGCAAATGTGCTGTGCAGAATTTTAGAAAGGTCAGTGTATCCCAAATGAATATTATTTTTCATTCGGTGTCGTCTTACTGAAAGCCGATATATGAAATTCGTAGGCCCGTGGTTTCAATTTGTCTTCGCTTACGACCACCACTATTCTAGAACGTAGCGGGAAAATGCACAAGTGCTTTCAACAAACGGAGGGTATGTTTATATGTTTATTCAGGCAAGAACAAGACTACCACGTGAATGAATCATGAAGCTAATTCTTCATCTATTTTCACGTGAATATGCTCGCCCACGCACACTCATAAATCTCTTTGCTTACACACACACACACATATATCTATATCTATATATATATATATATATATATATATATATATATATATATATATATATATAATATATATATATATATATATATATATATATACTTAGTTATTTCTTATTATTATAAAGTTTATTTTTACTGGGTACACGCATTTAAGTTGCTATTCAATTCGCGCTCCTCCCACCATCTTTTGAACAGGAGTACAGGTTTATTCCTTGTTTAGGATTGGCTTTATGGCTCATTCTAAAATCTACTTCAATTCTATACTTCTAACATCTTTGCGCAAACTCTATTTTTTTTCTCAATTGGAGTAGATAGGATTGCATATCGCTAGGTTCACACTCCTCCTCTGTCTTTTTAACAGCAGTAGAGGGTTATTCCTTGTTTAGGATTGGGTTTATTGTTTATTCTAAAGTTTAGTTCAATTCTACAGAGTGTTGCAGCAAAATCCGACACTTGACAAAAAGAAAACGAACTAGGCTATAAAAACAAAAGTTGTCTATGCAGAGACCCGACAGTTTATTTAGCAACAATTAGAGGTACATACTAGATTATTTTTCAATGTAACCGCCGCTGAGGGCGAGGATCATCTCAAGGCATGCGTGAAATGAGTCACATGCTTTGGTGACCATGTCCTTGTCCAGAGCTGCGAACACCGGCACGATGGAAGCATTCAGAGAGTCGACCATGTTGTGGCCTTGCTTGTTGGTCTTGGCCTCGATCACACCCTAGAAGAAATAGACAAGGTGTTTGAAGTCGGGTGAGGAAGGCGGGCAAAATCTCGGCGACCAGTGGTGAGGAACATTGTTGAGCGGCCACGCCTGGGTCATCTTGGCCTTGTGTGCAGGAGCGGAGACCTGTTGGAGGACGTAGAGTCGTCCGGCGTCTATCTCGTCCATCCAGAGCCTCGCCACGCTCGTCAGCATCTCCTGGTAGATCTCAGCGGTGACTCTCAGGCCCTTTTGAAAGAAGAACGGAGGCATGACGTCCCCCTCGCTGGAGATAACGCCAAGGACTATGACGGGGGAGAGAAACTTCGTATGCTTCACGACGGGAACGTCCTCGATGTCTTTGCAGATCCACCTGTCGTTCTGTCTGTTGCTCGTCTGGTTCTGGATGAAATTCTTTACATCAGAGAAGAACCTCAGCGGACCTGTACTTGAGCTCGTTCAGCAAAGCCGCCGCCTTGACCTTCCTCGACTCCTTGGAGGCATTCGTGATGCGTATGCTGAGAGACTTGCGGTTGGAGGAGTAACCAATGTCCTTCTTGATCGCTCGGCAGAACGTCAACTTGTGACAGGCCATGTCAGCGACGATCTTGGCGTACGTTTGGCTTACATCATTGTCGAGTGTCTTCTTCTAACGACCGACGAACGAACGTTGTGGGCTTTTCGTTTGGCAGTAAACTCGTCCTTGTTCTCACACGCCTTCCACTTCCTGCAAATGTCCATGACCATGGTTTTCTCGAATCCAAAGCAGATCATCACTTCCGCAGGCTTCTACCGCTGCTCTGCGCTCATATTCCATCCTGGAAAAGGGTAGAGAGAAACACGTTAGTTATTTGTCAAACTGTCGGGTATCTGCATATACAACTTTTGTTTTTATTGTCAATTTCGTTTTCTTTTTGTTAAGTGTCGTATTTTGCTGCAACACCCTGTATACTACCTTTCATCTCTCAGTTTCGTTTTTATAAGGTCGCCCAGAGAAGTAAACGCGTCGGCTAAGAATAATTTTACCTCTTGTATTTTTTTTTATTCATTTTGTTCCTTTACAGACACTTACACACACACACACACACACACACACACACACACACACACACACACACACACACACACACACATATATATATATATAATTCACGCGTTGATCATTTTTGATTTTTTCGACGGCGCACTATAGTAGGGTCAGTTGGGCACCATCTGTGAAAAAAAGAGTGCCATGACGCAATCCATTCCGCCAGAAATTTGTAATCAGGATCCTGTACTGCCTGGCATTCGCGCCGAAAGCTCCAATACGAACATTTCAGGGTGTTTGGGTAGAAATCTGATGACAGTGCAAAGAATTCTAAAAGAGTTGGATGAGTCTAAATGTGATTACGAAGGCGTTTTTAGTGATCACTAGTGATGTCAATGTTATGCCTCTATTCATCTTCCCACAGGGCCACAGACACAACACGGAGTCCTATATCAAGTGCCTTGTGGAGGTAGTGCTTCCCTGGGTCAAGTGTGGCTGTTGGAAGATTCTATATCTGGTAGCAGGACTCTGCAGCATGTCACACAAGCAGGGGAACACAGCCATGGTTGTCAGACAATATCTGCGACAGATCAACTCTTTATATCTGTTCACCTAACATTCCAGACTGCAACCCACTTGATTATTATGCGTAGCAATTGAGAGAGAGACCAACAACACTCGTTACAACACCAAAAATGAACTGAAGGCAAAAATTATGGCAGTATTCACCAACGCAAACAAGGAGACCGTCCAGACGTGTTGCAGAAGGTTCGGAAGTCGTCTGAAGACAGTGGCTGAAACCAATGGCGATTTTCTATTTTTGAATAAATCTGTTAAAATGAGATGTCAGTGTCATTTTTTTGCTTTTATTTATCTATCTATCGAATATATATATATATATATATATATATATATTTTTAGTGGTTTAATTTTTTGTAATATATTATACTTTGTTTAAAATCAGGTGAAAGATGTATTATTAAAAGTGTGCAACACAAACAGAATGTCTTTTTCATTGAACATGAAGAAAAATTAATTATTTTTTAATAATATGTAAAAATTCCACTTTTGAAGACGGTTTGGACGACAACGTGTCGTGAAATTATGTAAAACAAAGTATTTATCTATCAAAAAACGTTATATATATATATATATATATATATATATATATATATATATATATCGAATATATATATAACTTGGCCTCGATCACACCCTAGAAGAAATAGACAAGGTGTTTGAAGTCGGGTGGGAAGGCGGGCAAAATCTCGGCGACCAGTGGTGAGGAAGATTGTTGAGCGGCCACGCCTGGGTCATCTTGGCCTTGTGTGCAGGAGCGGAGACCTGTTGGAGGACGAATGCAAACATATATATATATATATATATATATATATATATATATATATATATATATATATATATATATATATATATATATATATTTATATATATATATATATTTATATATATATATATATATATATATATATATATATATATATATATATAAATTATCGTTTCAAATCATGCTATATTTATGGATTAAATGCTCAATATCAGGGCTAGAGAATATATCGATTTAGGAGAGGGGTACTGAGGTCAACACCGACAGGTAACAGACGGTTTCATGAATGAATAGTAGATAGTGGCTGGGATTGAGTAATCGGAGAGCCGAGTTCGAATTCTAGTCGAATCCATTACATTCACATACGTTCTAATAACCTTGAGACGGGTATGAATCCTCTTCTTCTTCTTATGGGAAAATAGCAAGACAGACCGGGTTGTATAGCCATGAATGGCAACTTGTCTACCACAGAAAGTAATGGCAACCTACTGCGGAAAAAATATCTACTTCGTCAGTCATGTATCGAAAGGTAGATGATCGCCTAAGCGTGTTTCACGCATGGCACAGAACAGATATTGATGGATATGAACGGATTGAAAAATAATTAATCGATATTAATATCTACATAATTTCAACCTTTCAAATCTATATTAATACCTATCGATCTTAGTCTATTCATAACTATATTAATACTTGTCTATCTTAATCTGTTCATATCTATTGTAACTATATATTTAATCCGGTTATATCTATAGTAATATCTATCTATCAAACCATTATACATACATATCAATATAAAGTGGTACTGATTAAGATAGATAGATAGATAGATAGATAGATAGATAGATAGATAGATAGATAGATATGAAGAGAGTAGGATAAACAGATATATGAATAGATAGATAGATAAATAGATAATAGGCTGAGATAGATATATAGATAAATAGATAGATAGATAGATTAATGGTTAAAATTAAGAAATATCAATGCTTATTGATTTAAAAAGAATATTAAGTTTAAATTAAATATTAAATACATATATAAATAGATAGATAAATATATAATATATGAGATAGATCGATAGATAGATAGATAGATAGATAGATAGATAGATATGAAGATAGATAGATAGATATGAAGAGAGTAGGATAAATAGATGTATAAATAGATAATAGGCTGGGATAGATAGATAGATAGATAGATAGATAGATAGATAGATAGATAGATAGATATTAGGTTGAAGCAAAAATAATGTCGTTTTTGACGTTGTTGAACGCAAAAAACACATTATTTTTGCCCCAACCTAATAGATAGATAGATAGATTAATGGTTAAAATTAAGAAATATTAATGCTTATTGATTTAAAAAGAATATTAAGTTTCAATTAAATATTAACTAATAGTAAACGCATATCTATAAATACATGCAAACCGACAACGAATTCAAAAAGTGAGTACAGATGGGGGCACCCTGAATACATAAATACATGCAAAATATATATATATATATATATGTGTGTGTCTGTGTCTGTGTGTGTGGATAGATAGATAGATAGATAGATAGATAGATAGATAGATAGATAGATAGATAGATACGAACATCAAAAATTAAAAAAAAGATCTACAGAGATTTTCTCATCAAAGAAAGTAGATATTGACAGTTTTTGTTCATAGAAACAATCTATCAATAAAACTCGATTTATTGATTTGCCATTATTGATTTTTTTTTGTTAAGTGCATTGGTAAGAACAGAAGAAGCTGGAAGCATCAGCTGAAAGAAAAATGTGTCAAAAACTTCAATGAAATATAACGGAAAGGATAACAAATGCATATAGTTACTACTTTAAAACGAAATTCAACCAGATAATAAATAAAATAACAATTCTCTAATTTAAAAAAAAAATGGCGGCAATAAAAATACGTTGAAATTTTAAATGGACGAACATTAGCCTTTTAAGAACCGCCTGAGAGTGTTGTTATATAAGTTTTAAATTTCTGTTTTTGCGTGTGTTAGTAGATTACTTTAAAGTCTATTGATCTTTATTCAGTACGTCAAACATATAATCATGGCCTTCGTACAAATAACAATCCGTATCTTTTTAAAAGGAGCATTGCAAGAAAGAAAGACAACGAGAAAAATCGAGAGTAAAAGAGCGCGAACGTGACCAATCTGACATACACTACGTTCAAAGGACTTTGCTAAAATAAGAAAAACAAAACAAGGGATGAAATTAAATTGATATATCTATTGAACAGATGTTTTAGTTGAGTTCGAGAGAAAAAATATTGAGTTTCCGTTTGTGAACCTCAAATCCATAAAAGATTAAAAAAGGTTTTTCCAAATCTTGTCGCTGTTTCTCTCTGTTTCTTTCTCTTTGATTTTATTTTCCTTCCTGTTTGGCTTTCTGCCTGTCTCACCCGTCTCTCTCTGTCTGTATCTATCTATCTATCTATCTATCTATCTATCTATATTTCTTTCTTTCTTTCTATCTCATTCAAATTGTCTTTCTTTCTTTCTGCTATGTTATCCTTTCTGCTTATCTATCTATCTATCTATCTATCTATCTATCTATCTATCTATCTATCTATCTCAGTTTCTTCATTATCTATCTATCTATCTATCTATCTATCTATCTATCTATCTCAGTTTCTTCATTATCTATCTATCTATCTATCTATCTAATTTTCTTGGTATATGCACATGCACTTATAGCTTTGTTTCTTCCTTTCTTTCTAATATTTTGGTATCTAATTCATTCTGATTTTCTATCTATCTATCTATCTATCTATCTATCTATCTATCTATCTATCTATCTCTGTCTGTCTATCTGTCTGTCTGCCTCTCTCTCTCTCTCTATCTCTATATATATATATATATATATATATATATGCAATAGCGAGTATAAAGATAAGAACGATGTTAAGAAAAAGGCTAAATGGGAAATAACATTTTATTTTAAAGCTTCATAGAACATTTTATCAAGGAAAAATAAGGATATAAAGGTAAATTATGTAATTCCAAAATATAAAGCTCAATCAATTTATTTTGTTAAAGTTATAAGAATAAATATACAGCATTCGAAAAAGATAGATGATCAAAACCATCAGAATTATGAAATAAATCCGTAAAATTTACCAATTATTAGCATTATTGAAAATGTTTTAGGGTAAGAATATAAAATAGGATAATTTATTAATTTACACCTGCTCTTTACTGGCTCTTGCATTGTAAACATGGCGAAAAATCTGTGACGTCATTGGATCTTAGGAAACTGATAGTCAAGTTATGTATTGAAGATAAAACCCTCGATTGGGGATATTTCAAAGACTGTGGGGGAATCTAAGTCTTATTCATAGTATTTTAAGAAAACTTGAGGAAACTGGGTCATGTGAAGCCAAGAAACCACCTGGCAGGCCTAGGAAAACTACTGCAAGGGAAGACAGATGGATTGGTAATGAATCAAAAAAGGATCAATTTCCGACAGCAAACGCTATCTCTAAAAGAGCTAATGCTAAACTTGGCATTAAAATATCAAGGCACACTATTTCCCGAAGACTTGCAACTGAACACGTCATATGGACAAAAGAATAATGGGATTGGGTTAATTTCAGCGATGAGTCAAAGTTTAACATGTTTGGTTGTGAAGGGAGAAGGTTCGTTCAAGGCAGTCCTAAGGAACGATATTCGCCTCAGGGCACTAAAAGCAGCGTTAAATTTGGAAGAAGAAGTGTGATGGTGTTTGGCATGATTTCATCTGTTGGTACAGGACCTCTTGTTAGGCTACATGGTAAAATTAACACAACTGTATACAAAGAGATATTGAAGAAACATGTTGAGAACTTCAATTAATCAACCAGCTGTATTTATGCAAGATAGCGCGCCCTGTCACACAGTGAAGTCCGTTAAGACATTTCTTTCTGGCTAGTATATTACTTTTATGGAGTGGCCTGCTCAAAGCCCAAACATGAATGATATTGAGGATGTTTGGAAGTTATTAATGAAAGAGCTAAGGAAAAGAATCCAAAAAACGTCGACTAATTTGAAAGGAGAATGGGAGAAAATGTCCATTAATGAATGCAAGACATTAATTCACTCATATAGCAAAAGATGCCAAGCTGTTATTGCATGTAGAAGGTCTACACATCAAGTACTAATGAATAATGAACGCTATTTTCATTTGGATATGATGTATCCATTATAATAATATGATTTTGTTAATAATTCTGATGGTTTTGATCATCTATTTTTTCGAATGTTATATAATTATTCTTATAAATTTATCAAAATAATTTTATTGATCTTTATATTTTGGAATTACATAATTTACCTTTATATCCTTATTTTTCTTTTATAAAATGTTCTTTGAAGCTTTAAAATAAAATGTTATTTCGCATTTAGACCTTTTCTTAATTAAAGACATATTTTATGTTTAACGTTGTTATTTTTATATATTTTATATATTAAACATAAAATATGTCTTTAATAAATAAATTGTCGGACCTTGTCCATTTCTTAATATACCTTTTCTTAACATCGTTCTAATCTTTATGTGCTATTACATATATATATATATATATATATATATATATATATATATATATATATATATATATATATATATATATATATATATATATAGGTAACTATACTCGTTTCGAAAAAACCTCGAATTTTTGATTTGCCAATAATCAAATCAATCTCGAGGGGAAAAAGGTTTTAAAAAAAGAAAGAGCTAGAAACATGAAAGTCTGTCGAAAAAAATCGCACAGATACAGGTTCAAAGCCCAAAGAAAAAACCCCGACACGAGTAAACAACTAACTAACAAAAGAGCTCAATACAACCGTAGAGCAGACTTAGATAAACCTACTGAGCCAGACAAACCTACCCAGGTTTCACCTAAGCGGGTCGTCAGGAAAATCTGGCTAAAGAGGCAAAAGAGAAACAGCATATTTAAAGGCGATAATCAAAATCATACCACGTGACCAAAGAAAAAGAATAGAAAAACAAGAAAAAACAACATTGGGAGGGGGGTTAATGATTTATTCAAACGACTAAAAGGGGAGGGGATATTTAAGAAAACACGAACAATAAAGGTGGAATGACAATACAAACAGGGGAGATTAAACCTAACTCATAACCAAGGTATGATTTTGATTATCGCCTATAAATTTGCCGTTTCTCTTTTGCCTCTTTAGCCAGCTTTCCCTGACGATCCGCTTAGGTGATACCTGGGTAGGTTTGTCTGGCTCACTACGTTTATCTATCTATCTATCTATCTATATATATATATATATATATATACAAGTATTCATCCGAAGGTATATAATCCAAGTGAATCCTAATAATATGAAATATTACAACTGATCCACAAAAGTAGCTCTATGTATTTATTATAACAGAGTAAATAAAATACATGGATTAAAAATCCAAAACTACCTCATTCGGAAAATAGTACTTTCGATCCACAGATCTTCTTCTGTACGTTACTTCTCTCTTTTTGACAATAAACAGGTTAAGATTAAACTTATCTCATATTCTAACATCTGTGAAGTGATAACGTCCACAAGAAAATCTGTGGATCGAAATGCCTATATATATATATATATATATATATATATATATATATAAGGTGAGTCAAAATTTAAGGTATGAGAGCATTCATTTATTCAGAATTTACTGATCAGTCTCCACCAGCACGATTTATGCACAAAAACAAGTAATTTTCGTAAAATTTAGTGCCTTCATACATATTTCAGGGGTGGAGTATGTTTGAAATTAAACCTTTTATTCTGTCCTTGAGTTCTTCGATGCCTCTATGTTATGGGACCTTACCCATAAGAACATAATGGACTATTCCATACGTAATAAATACTGCGCCTCAAGAGAAAGCAGTGAGTTCAGCCTGAAGTCTGGAGTGAGGTGCGTCAGAAGTCCGTCAGGAGTCTGTCAGTCAGTCAGAGCGCGTAAGTCAGTCAGTCGAGTCAGAGGCAGTCCGAAACAGAGTCGCGTTCAGACAATTACTACTAAACCTGATTGTTCATACTAACACTTTCTACTTCTCTGTATATATTCCTGTTTGTAATATATCTGTGTTATTCCATTTCCGCCTTCGAGTTCTTCTTTATTGGTTCTACCTTGGACTATCACCGTGGTACAAGGAACCGGACCATAACATTTTTTGCTATACACGCGATCCTTTATCATACCCCATAACCAGAAATCACAGGGTGTCAGAACAGTGGAGTGTGGTGGTCATGCCAACGGTCCGCCGTGCGCTATCCAACGATTTGGGAAATTTTGATCGAGACAAGCGCGGGCAAAATGAGGTGGTGCACCATCCTGTTGGAAATAACCATCTCGTCTGATTTTTAAGGGTATGGTATCAATGGTAATTTCTTGCAGCATTTGTAAGTAGGCATTTGCAGTCACCATTAGAGTTGTAAAAATATGGTACCATGACACTAATTTCTGGCGAGGTGAATTACGTCATGGTGCTCTTTTCTTACAGATGATGTCCACTTGACCCTACTATAATGTGCAGTCAACAAAATCAAAACAAACAACGCGCATGCGCGAAATTAAAAATATAAAATGGCTACA